TTAGAATCTCATTGGTTAACATTTCACGGGGATCCGAGACTAAATTTGGCGACATTCAGGATACCGAGTTGCTCAGACGAAATAAAAAACGTATTGTTGACTTATGGAGGAATCAAACTTCTATTATTGAATCAGAGTATAACCTACTCAAACGACCACCATTTGTACCATTACTGTACAAGCTATATCATAAGCATAATTTGCCAAGATCAAAATCAATTGGAGCGGCTATCTAAAGCGGGAATCGTTGTCTTGACACCTGGTTGCTGACTCACAAGAGGTCCCCCGCTGACTCACAAGAGGTCCTACCACCAGTAATTACGCAAATTATAATTTTGCAGGTTTCATTTTTATTACACGATGTTATTCCTTCACTGTGGAAGTCAATCGTGAACATTTGTTGAGTACGTATTTCATTAGAAAAATTGGTACCCACCTGAGATTCATACGCCAGTGCATCGCTCAACATAAGTGCATTGGACGTCTTATCTGTTAGGCCACAACTTCAAAAGGTTATGTCTACCTTGGTAGAATCAGACCTCTACTGCTGTAGAAAAGTGTCGCAAGGCTTATTTGCAATTCAAATCAGATCCTTCTATGGAAAACTATATTTTATTTAAAAAACAACAAGTACTTAAAAATCTTATACTTAATAAAGAAAGAGAAGCTTCTTGGACAGATTTTTGTGAGCCACTCAATAGACAAACATCTTAATCGATCATCTGGAAAACAATAATAAAAGTTAACAAACTTATCACAACAGTAATGTTAAAAGCTCTACTACCATTAGTTGGATACAAGATTTTTTAAAATTAATTTACTTCAAACCCCCAGTCACAGGTCAATTTCAATATTAATGTATCAAATACACATAATGAATTGGTTACTAAAACATTTACTTTACTTGAACTTCACAGTGCTTTCAACTCTAAGCTTTTAAATAAAAATGAATTGCTGTTCGTTAGTCTCGCTAAAACTCGAAAACGACCGATTTTGCTAATTTTGGTCTTGAATTACTTGTAGAAGTCCAGAGAAAGTTTAAAAGGTAGATAAATATGAAAATACTCGGAATTAAATGAAAATAACAATTTTGTTTTTTCTTTGATGTGTCCCCCGGTGACAGGTCGGACAGATTCCTTTTGTTTATCTTAAGTTTATTTTATACAAAACTTTAGGTCTTTTATTTATCGATTGAGGCAATACGAAGTCTGCCGGGTCAGCTAGTATTTCATAAAAAATGCTGAAGAATCTCTCAGTTGACATTAAAAATATTTCTCATATTAAACCTACTTTGGAATGCATCTCTGGTCCCGGAGTGGAAAACTGATTGTCTTGTACCAATATTAAAACCAGGTAAAGATAGCACTCTGACATCTTGGTCTGGTAAACTTTTTGAGAAAATGTTAAAACAATCATTAGAGTTTTAAATAGAATCAAATAAATTATTACTTTCAAATCAATGTGGCTTCCATAGAGGTTTTTCTGCCGCTGAAAGTATGAATAATCTTTACTTAGACATTCATCGTTCACTTGCATATAACAAATTCCTGGTTTGTGTTTTTCTTGATTTTGTAGGAGCAATTAATAAGCATGGCGATCATCAATATGCAAGTAGAATGTAACGTCCCACCATTACATCTAAGATTCAAATATATAAAGTTTAAATTTATTCTTAAGCTCTTCTCTATTTCACATCATGCACTACTGCAAAAAATTCAGCATTCCCAAACAATTGCTATTTCCATTAATTTTCCAAAATACCCTTTCATTCTTCTTCACTTCTCGAATTTTAAGGCGTTCGTTGAGCAACATAACATTTATAAAGCAGTTGATATATGGGCTTGTTAAGAAGATATATTTGAGAGTAACTTCTTAGTCAACACCTTACCGAATGGCCTGATTTTCACTGTATGTATACTGCGCCTCAAAATCAGATCAAGGAGTATAGAACTTTAGACGGATTTGCTTATTCAAAATATCAATGTTGAATTCACATGGACTCCAACACATCGCGCCTTGTGGATTGTGTTGTGGAGTTGGTGGGAAAAATCTTATTTTATCATATATTAAGTGTATAATCTATGGGAAAAATATTAAGTGTATAATCTATGGTGGTGTGCACAGGGCAATAGGGATGTGCGTTACGATAAAAAATTAATGAAGATCGATTTAATTGAATATGATCAAGCGATTTTTTGAATCGATTCACTTCAATACGATATATGTATTTACATTACGATATATTTACATTACATTTGAATCGATTCACAAGTTAAGGGAATCGAATCCTTTAGATCGTAGGTATTATAAAAACACTGTTATGAAGAAAGATAGGTTATAAACGAATGCCGACACTATAATTATTCACATTATTAGTTTGCAATGCTTATAATAGTATATAGCGGAGCAAGTCCAAAGGCAAAAATAATGAAACTTAATGCAGGTAGTTCTAACAACTCCTCGTTGATTTTATTTTGCTTTGGTCGTTGTGCCGTACGTATGATCGTGTTTTAATAATTGTGCCTATTGTGATTTTTGTCGATGACTCCACCTATTAAGTCCAGTGTGTGTTCCAATTTCGTAGACTCATATTGGAGGACAATGCAAAATATATCATTGTATCGTTAAAACAAAAGGTAGCACCACAAATCTTTCTAACCATACGAAAAGACATCATCCTTTGTTTTCGCAAAGTAATGAAATGAAAAATCAAGATGAAAATGCATTGGATATTTTGGATACGGTACTACATTAACGGGTCATGTATATTATTGCAAATGTAAGTAACTTATGTTTCATTATAGAAAAAGCCTAACTTGATGTCTTTATCATCGTCCTATAGATTGAAAAAAAATTGTATGTAAGTTTGATTTCTTTTGGCTATAATGTCATTGTTTTTAGATTCACTGGCAAGAATAAAACTTATATAAATAAATCTAATATATAAAATTCTCGTGTCACGGTGTGCGTGATTGAACTCCTCCGAAACGGCTCGGCCGATTTTCGTGAATCTTAACGTTCATATCGGCCAAGGTGAAGAATCAGACAACATCTATTTTTCATTCTCCTAAATCTTAACTCCCAAACTTTTTTTTTTTGACAAAATTATTTGTTTTTGCTTATTTTATTTTATCATTATGTCATATTTAGTTCCTGTCACAATCTGTTCTTTCCTGCATATTACTTTTACAAAATAATGTTGATGTTTCACATCTGCCAGGCGTCCCGTGACTGCTCACATTTCTTTTTATTAAAAACTTAATTTTTTTTTAACACCGGTACATCGCTCGATACGACTGCACCGGACGTCTTATCCTTTAGGCCACGACGACTTAAAAAACATGTTTTTTTGGTTATATTTGTGTATCAGTCGTAGCTTTCCAGCCATGTTTTTTTGGTTTTATTTGTGTATCAATAGTATGTTCAGTAGGTCTAAGAATCGGATACTATCTATTTTTCATACCCCTAAGTGATAAGGGTTGTCCACCCCAAACATTTGTTTTTTATTTTTATTTTTTGGATAATTTTTTTTTTTTGTTATAGTGAGGTATTATGTGGTTGAATGAGGTTTTTTTTTTCTACACTAGAATTTCCCTAGAAATCTTATTTAAGGCAACACAACGTTTGCCGGGTCAGCTAGTAGTAATATAAAATTTATGTACAAGAATACGATCAGATCCAAGAATCGATTCAGAGCCCTACGATCCATTACGCTCCAAAAAATCGATTCAAAGAGAAAACCGTGCATCCCTACTGGGCAATGAAAAAACTGATAATTTTGCAAAATCAAAATCAAAAATCAAAACAAAAAGTAAACGGTACGCAGAAATAGTTAATGAAATTGGTATTAAACCTTGATACGCTAGAAGCAAATCTTTCCATAAAAGGAAATTCTACACACAGATTTGTAGACTGAGATTTGGTCATTACAAATTTAACGCTGGTCTATACCGAATGAAAAAAAACTTCAGCACCAAATTGCAATGAATGCTCCCTAAATGAAGAACAAACTTTACTTTTTTTTTTTCACATGTCCGGCTTTTAATATTCATCGCATCCTATTCATCGATCAACTGCAAGAGGTTTATAAGGATAGCATCCCGCCATCTCTTCAAGAATTGCTTAAGTGCCCTGCAAGTTTTAGACCAGTAGGTATATTAATATATATTTTTTTTTTATTGCTTATTTCTATGGACGAGCTCACAGTCCACCTGGTGTTAAGCGGTTACTAGAACCCATAGACATCTACAACGTAAATGCACCACACACCTTGAGATATAGTTCTAAGGTCTCAGTATAGTTACAACGGCTGCTTCACCCTTCAAACCGAAACGCATTACTGCTTCACGGCAGAAATAGGCGGGGCGGTGGTACCTACCCGTGCGGACTCACAAGAGGTCCTACCACCAGTAATTACGCAAATTATAATTTTGCGGGTTTGATTTTTATTACACGATGTTATTCCTTCACCGTGGAAGTCAATCGTGAACAATTGTTAAATACTTATTTCACGATTGCGACAACTGAAACTATAGAGAAAAAAAATCTGACTAGACATTTACACGGATAAATGAATAATACTAAAGAATTGGCTTTTTTGCCTTGAAATATAAAACTACATTTGAAAATGTAAAACTTAAGAATTAACTGTATGTATGGCTTAGTTCAATTGCCTTTCTCTTCTACTACTAATAAACCATTTTTTATTATTATAAAATTAGCCGGATACAAGTCCATCGGACGTCTACATATGATACAATAATAAAGTTAATATTTACGAAGTGTCATACAGTATACAAAATTATTAAATTCCCGGTTTTTTTTCAGGTTTTTCATGTTATTATTTCAGGTCAAACTTTTCGTACAGTCGCTGTAATAAAGTCATATAAGCTCGGGAAAAGTCTTTCATTGCTCAAAAGTTCTTGAACGCGGCGGGTTAAGTCCTCTGACACTGACACATAAGTGTCTGACACTGACGACTGACAGTGACATTCGTAAGTCATCATCTTCAAGGGCTGTTCTTGTTTTCGTTATTTCTAGTTTTTCTTCCAGTTTTTCTTTTATTTCGGTTACTAGGGTCACTCTTTGTGTGGAAAAGTTGAAGCATTTCAATACTATGTGCGTCAGGTCTGCATTTTCATCATTACAGAATTGGCAGTGGCTGCTATAATTTGTTATTTTCATTCGGTGCAAATGTCAGGCAATGACCAAATCTCATTCTGTTTAAAATTGTTATGAATTTTCTTTCCTTAAATAATTTGATATTGCAATACCATGGCTTGGATGGAATCTTCTTTTGAATTTCCTTATACCATTTGCCTTTATTCTCTGAACAAAATTGCGAGTAACTCTCCCATAGCTGTCTTTTTTCTACTTAAGTAAAGTTACATAATAGTCCGTTAATGGGACCTTCAACACTTGCGAGTGGTCCTCGTCATGTTTAGCATTTGCCGCCCTATCTACTGTCTCATTCCCACAAATACCGCTATGAGATGGAACTCAGTTAAATGTTGCAGTTTTACCACTATCAAAATAATTTTTCTTATTAAATATATTAGATAATTGAGCTTATAACTTAACTTATAATTATCTAAATAGAGAAGAACACTCATGGAATCTGAAATAATAAGTACATTCTTTTTCACCTTTTCCATATCACATATGTACAATAAACATTGATACTCATTTACTAGAGGTATCTGTTTATTATTATAAAGAACTTTAACTGGTGTGATGTCATTCCCTAAAACCATAACTGAACTCTTTTCACTGTTAATGTTAAGTTTTAAATTTAAGGAATAAAATAGATTTAGTTGTTGTAGTGCTAAGTTTATATTTGTTTCAGCTGATTTTATATTTCTGTTTATACTATATAATAATATCAGGACATCATCAGCAAACTGTAGGATTGAAGTATTACGAGGAATAAAATTAATAATTTGTGAAGTATATAAATTAAATAATAGTGGTGACATGCAAGCTCCTTGCATTAGGCCTTGCCATGTTTTTTTGGTCTATGTAATTAATTGTTATATTTGACATATAGAGTTCGATCAGATGAAAAATTAAAAATCCATTTCAACAACTATCCAGGTAAACCAAGATCATGTAAAATTTTAATCAGCTGTATAAAATCAACATTGTCGTAGGCTCATTGGACATCCAAAAAGACACACACTGCAGTGGATTTAGGTAGCTGGCAACTCTTCATATCATTAAGGAATGTTATCAAACTTTCAGCTGTACTCCTACCTTTACGGAAACCAAATTGACAAGGGGGTAATAGTTTATTTGTCTCTACAAAAAAAATCTAATCTTACTTTGATCATGTGTTCTAGTAATTTACCAATGCATGATGTTAAGAAATTGGCCTATAAGACTTATAATCATCTGGTGGTTTATCAGGTTTTAAAATAGGTACTACACACTGAGTTTTCCATGATTCAGGTATTTGTTGACTAAGCCAGAGAGAATTGAGAATATCAAGTAATTTGTTTTTCACTGAAATATGCAATTTCTGTAACATGATATATGGGATGTCATCTAAACCAGGCGCTGTGGATTTTTTGATGTCAGAGCTATATCTAGTTCATGAAACATAAATGGTTTCAATAAAAATTATTGTTTAAGTTATTATTGTTGTTAAAATACATCTGAATATTATCTAGTTCGGGTATGTCAGCCTGGGATAGTTTATTAATAAAATCATTTATCCATTCGTCATTTCGATATACGTTTCCATTATTTACATAATAATATATTCTTTTAAATTTTCTGATATAATTCCAAAATTTAGTCAATGGAGTGTGTCTATTAAATGAATGACAGATTTTTCCAGCCATTCAATTTTGCCTGTTTGATAATTATTTTTTTATGTGCATCAGCTTTTTTGTATTCAATATAGTTTTCTAAGGACATGCAGTTTCTATATTTTAATAAAGCTTCTCGAGATTTCCTTACAGATATAGCGCAGTCATCACTCCACCATGCAGCATGGATATTATTTTTATGTACAAGAATACAATTAACTTTAAGATTGTTTGAAATTGAACAAAAATCTTTATACCTTTTTAGAGGATCATGACAAGTAGTTGTTTAATAGTTATCAAACATTATTTTAGATGTTTCCATATATACATCCCAATTTGTTCTTTTGAATAAAAATTTTTGTGAGCTATCCTTAATTTGATACTTTTTAGGGGAGGTAATCAGATCAATAAATGTTGGATAATGGTAGCTACCATGAGGGTCATCACTGACTTTCCACTCAGATAGTGGAGCGAGGACTGGGCTGAAACAAGTGACATCTATGGCTGAAGAATTGAAGCCTGGTCTCTGTATAGTAGTGGCTGATCCTGTATTCAAGATGCATAAATCCAATTCATCAAAAATATCTATTAATTCTCTACCTCTTGTATTCGTAGTGCTACAGCCCAAAGCAATATGGTGGGCATTAAAATCGCCAGAAATATACATGGCTTCGGTATTTTACTAATAATATTTTTTAATTTATTCAGTCTAATCGAATTAGGACTATTATTGTTTTTAGGTGGACAATATACACCCAGAATGGACACTGGTCCTGAAACTGTCGACACTACAATAGCGACACTTTGAATATCCTGATAAAATGCTGTTTTGATAGTTTTGTATTGAAGGGTATTTTTTCTTATGAATATACCTACATCACCATGCTCGTTTTGTGCATTTTTTTCAATGTAATTGTACCCGGTTATATTAACAGAAGGACTAGATTTTTAAAGCCAAGTTTCATTGAGTAGACACAAATCTATGGAATTATCTTTTAGTTTTCAGTAACCATTTTTTATTGTTTACGCTTTGAATGTTAAATTGCATGAATTTAAGTGGATCTNTTTTCTTATGAATATACCTACATCACCATGCTCGTTTTGTGCATTTTTTTCAATGTAATTGTACCCGGTTATATTAACAGAAGGACTAGATTTTTAAAGCCAAGTTTCATTGAGTAGACACAAATCTATGGAATTATCTTTTAGTTTTCAGTAACCATTTTTTATTGTTTACGCTTTGAATGTTAAATTGCATGAATTTAAGTGGATCTATTAGAGATTTAAATTTGTTTAAGTATATCCTTAATGTGTGTCATATTTTTTGCAGAATTTGAATTGGCTATCATTACTATAGTTTTAACAATTATTTCTAGGAACTGATTATCATTTAATAAATTTTCATAACATACATTATTAGGTGAGTTTAATTTAGTAGGTTGTTTTTTAACAGAATTAGGATTATCTATTAAGGCCTGTAATTTAATTTGATTCTTTTGTGTTGAATGGTCTGGTCTGTTCTGAAGTCTTTGCAAAGGTGGAAATTCTTTAGATACAACTGTAGCATATTGTTTTGCTAAATAAACATTTTTATGTTTTTCATAAAGGGCTTGTTTCACTGGACAAAACCTTGAGATGATCGCCTTGGCAATTACAACATTTCAGAATTTCAGTTGAACAATCCTTGTATGAATGATTCCCTGAACATTTAGAACAGACCAGTGAAACACTGCATCAAAGGTGGTATCTACATATTGGAATACCTTATATCTCCAATTATCTAAATATACAAAATCTGGAAGAATGGTACTCGAGAAGGTCACACTTATTATAGACATATTTCCGCCTACTTTTTTTGTGAAACGTCTAACAGCAATGATTTCTGAATCTGATATTAATTTGTCAAAGAGTTCAGTGTTACTCGTTTCTGTAGGAATGAATCATAGCTCCCCTACACGCTCCACTGAAGATGCTGGAATGTAAGCTTTCATGTTGTTTTCTTTAAGGCAACTAAGGTTTATGATCATTGGCAGCCACTGCCTTTTTAAATATAAGCTTTATTTTATTAGCATTATTTATTATTTTAGAGCATCCGGGTGATGGAAGGCCGGCTATCCTCGACCCACGCTGGTTCTGACCCAGCGGGGTATTTCGTAGGATAACCTATTCAAACCGGCGCCATCTAGGCGGGCTTCGGACAGCCTGCCGACCGAGAGGGCTGGTGGTCGTGGCGCCGACGATCGCTGGCCCGGCGTCCCGAGGGGGAGGGTGATGGGAGAGATGTGCTCCGCACTAAACGCTTCACTCTCCTCCCCTTGCCTTTTCATGAGTTCTGTCTCATGCGAGGGTTGGACGTTGGTTGTTGAGCGACAGGAGGTTTTAGTCGGTTCAACTCCGACATGCCCCACCCTCCATCCCCAGTGGAAGGTGGGAGTCCGGCGATTTCC